CTCCCTGTCTCCCCAGAGAAATCACCCAGACCCTGGGTGACAAGGAGACAGATTCGACGCAGCTAGAGTCTTCCCCTGAGATAACATCAGCCAGGCAGTCAGCAATAAGCAGGCCTATATTAAAATTTGAGAAGGTACACGATGTAATCATAATCACATTGCTTTTGTGTAGCTCTTTACAGTTTGCAAAGCACTCGTACATGCACTAGCTCATGGGAGAAAATTGCAGGGAATTAGTTAACTATGGAAAAGCATAAAGAAACCAGTAAAATTCATCTGTGAATCCACCACTCCGAGAAAATCTTTGTTAACATTGTAACGTGTTCCCATCACCCTATTTTCCAGTGGGGTTTTTTTGCCTATCTTTTTGCTTTATTGTGACCATGCTGCATATATATTTTTATGGCCTGTTTTGTTCATGGAACATTGCGCCTTCTGCCATCTCAGTTGATCCTCACATCCATCCCCTAGCAAGAAGTACTTGTGTCGTGAAGTGTCCCTGGTTTGAGGTCCTAAGACTAGATTCTCATCCTTCGCAGACTCTTCTTGCCAGTTGAAGCATACCACTGAAACCTGAGCCTCAGTTTCCTCCTTTGTAAAATAGAGGTGTGTGCTGAAGGACTAGGTTAATGCCACAATGCTCCTGAAAACATTTAGCCCCGCACCAGTCACATCCTAGGTGCCCGGTTCACATTAGCTAAATAAAGGTGCAAACCACCGTGTTGATGAGAAATGTAACATTAGAGTTCAAGGGTGGCATCTGGTGGGCTCAGAGTCCTGCCTATGGACAGGTGCTTTCTATAACTCCCACTGCGGTTGGCAGACAACAATAAACAATATTCCTTAGACCGACCTTTAAGCAGCCCTGTGATGGCCATTGGTGAGCATAGGATGTAGAGGCCACTGGATCCCATGACTGCTGCCATGAAGTTCAGAGCTGGAGGCTGCTCATTCCTCAGGACTGCTGGCCGACCCTCCCTACTAGGGCAGGTTGTCCTTTGTTAGTTCTGGGAGCACTCCCATTGGCCACTGCCCCCTCTCCTAAAATACAGTGGCTGAGCACAGCCAGCAGGGACTTGTTGAGCATACAGGATGCTCTGGGTGTCCTAGGTTCAGCGGTTTCGGAGATGAATGGAAAGCAGCTCCTGCCGTACAGCTCCTCTGTAGAACATGGCTCCTGCAGCCATTTACCTTGGAATGTCCCTCCCCCCAGCTCAAGGACATGTATCTGTGTGTGTACAGAAAGGTGAGGAGGAACCCCCATGCACACGTGCATTTCTTACCTTCTGGTCATTAATGTTCTTTCTTACACGGTGAGGACCAACTACTTGGTTGAGGCCTCAGCAAAGAAAGACCCTTTCTCCAAACACACATGCCTGCCTGTGCTCACGCACACGGCCACACACGCACACGGCCACACACACACACGACCACACATTCCCACTCTCCTCTTTGTTGAACTGGAAGCCATGCATTCTTGTTAACACATTGAAAACACAAAACCAAACCAAGAAAAGAAAAAAAGCCAGCCTTTCTCTTGGAGAGATTTTGCAGATGTCTCTTCTCCAGTGGGGGGTGATGTGTGTGGTCTTCTGCAGTCTGGGTGAGGAGGGGGCAGGACAGCAGCTGGTGGCGTTTCCTCCCGGGAGGCAGCGTCATGGTTTCTGGGCACGTGTGATTTCCTCCAGGGGAAGATCCTGGGGACCCTCTGGCATCTATGAATCAGAAGGGATGCCCTGGCTCGTCCGGCCCCTGCCTCCGTGCCCACCAGGCCCCAAGTCTCCTCCAGGTGAGGCTTGAGGGGAGAACGTGTCCTCCTGGGTGTCTTCAGTGGCCCAGGTGTACTGTCCTGCCCACATGCAGCATCTCTTGGAATCCTCCAACAGTCCCCCGGGGGATGTAATGCTGCCATCCCCATTTTACAGTTGAGGACATTGACCTCACCTGAGATCTCCCAGGCAGGTATGGGATGGAACCAGTGACCTTGGCCGCCGTGCTGCACCTGCGTCTTCACCTGAGGCCGAGCAAGCATCTTTCCCGCAGAGCAGCATGGCAGTGGAGGGCCACAGACCCAGGTTGACCTCCCTGAATGGACTCTAGATTTTGAAACTGCCTTCTCAACAGTCAGACGAGGCTCCGAATGCCTCCCCGGGCGGCTCTCGGAAATCACGTGTACCCAGTACGGTGCGCAGAGCCCGGCACTTGCTTGTTTGTTCTCTAAAACCTTTGCAGCCATCACAGCCCCGTGAACTGCAAATACTGGAGCAAATAGTGAGCTTAAAATGGGCTTATTGATCACCTTCTGTGCATATAATTAGAAGACACAAGCCAAGGAGTTCAAGGCTGCAGTGAACTATGATTGTGCCACTGTACTCTCAGCCTGGGTGACAGAGTGAGACCTTGTGTCTGGGGAAAAAAAAATACACAAAAGAAAAATTTGAAAGACAGGCCTTAACTTCACAGTGATGACACTGTTTTTATACGCAGCAGATATTTTTCACCCATGTAGCACATGAACACTGAGCACCCGTGATGCACCAGACACTGCTGGGGGCAACGGCAAAGAGTCACAGTCTCTCCAGGGAAGTTGCCCTTAAATAATTTCGGTTCAAGTTGACAAGTGCTTTAACGGAGTTATGAATCAGGCACTCTTAGAGCACAGAGAAGAAATGGGCCGTTTCTACTTGGCAGCGCTGGAAGAGGTCTCCTAGAGAAGGCACCATCTAGGCTGGCTCTTGAAACGTAAATAGAAGGTTTTTTAGATGGAGAAGAGTTGGGGGAGGGGAGGGAGGGCATTGCAGAGAGGGACGAGTAAGTCACAGAACAAAGTCTAAAGGTGTAAGGGAAAGGCAGGTTTGGGGAGCAGAGAGAAGAGCATTGCTAAGAGTACAGAGTATGTGGGGGTGATGGTCAGAGAGCAGTCCGTGGTTGCCAACAAGGAAATCCGGTTTAATCCTGCAGGTCGGAAGGGGTCTATGGGCTCATAGGCTATTAGTTGGAATGAGAATTCCAGCTTCCTGGTCTTATATTAGTTTAAACGGTTGGCATAGGACATGAAATTGACTTGAAAAGATGAAAAAAATCCTTGGTTGCATCCTTTAAATAGTTAGCCGAGACTGTCTCAGACATGGTTGGATCTCATCTGATTCCCCAAGCAGCATTTGGAAGTATGTGGGTGCAGTTGGAGTTGCACAGGGCTGAGAATGCTACAAACATTTAGAGGGCAGAGGTTTAGGAGCCTGTGCGTGATACGTGGGGCAGGTCCCCATAATGAAAGAGTGCCAACAGCACTCTATCGGTACGTATTGCTGGAAACCCGTCAGACCTCAGCGGCCTACAAGAAGTGGTGTTTGTCGAGGCCGCTCTACTGATCGTGGCGGGGCTTGCTCGCGTGACTTGGCAGTTGCGGAAGACGCTGCTCTGCCCAGGTACCTCTCATCCTCCAGCCCGCTGGCCTGGGCATTCTCCCCTGGCAATGGGAGAGGTGCAAGAAACACTTCCCTCGAGGTCTGAGCTCAGGACTGGGACATCATTCCTCTGCATTCTGTTAGCAAAAGCACATCACAAGTCCGGTCCTGATTGGAAGGGACAGAAAAATGGACTCTGCCTCTTTAGTAAGCACCACTGCAAGGGGTAAGGATATGGGGGGGGGGGGGCAGATAAGGATCAGAGCAATGGATGCAATCATCTGCCATAGCTTAAGTTGAGAAACAGTGTCGTAGCATGACCTGTCAAGGCGGTGGTCTTAACAGTCTTAACAAGATGTTTTCTTGTTGATGACTTCTGTGTTGGTTTGGGGGGTTTTAAAATGTATATCTTCTTGGAAAAATGCTGTATTATATTCAGTTAGGTTGGTAACCATAACCTATGTTCAACTACATGGTATCGTGTACCAAGGCTGATGTAACAGGAAAAATATTGCAACCAGCTGTGCAACCCGTAGCAAATTATTTTTTGAAAGTTGATTTTATTGAAAATGAATTCCCTACACTAAGTCCTCCTGTTCTAAGCTTGCAGTTTGTCAGATCTTCACAAGTGTGCACCCCCACGTCACCGTCACCCTGGTCATGATGAAGAGTGTCCCCACCACCCCCAAAGCTCTCTTGGCTCTTCCCAGGCCACTCGCTGCCCCAGCCCATCCCCGATCCAATTTCTATCACTTGTAGATCAGCTTTTTGTCAAGTTGTTTTAGGTTTTAATTTCAGTTCTTTGTCTGCTGAACAGGTGCCACCACCCCACCCCACCCGCCTGGTGGGGCTGTCAGGGTTTGCATGAGACGGTATCTGTCGGGCAGCCGCACATCTGCTGGCGTCTGCATCTGCGTGTCCAAAACACTAGCTCCTTAGCTCCCTGGTAGCAGGTCAGCTGCTCTTTCCACTAGTTGGGGAAGGAAGAAGAGGAGTGGAGCTAGTTAAAGGACTTCTACAAGCAGATTAACAAAGACAGAGTTAGAAAAATGAGAAGAGAAAAAAACGTGGGTGCAGAGGCCCTAATCTTAGGTGAAATGAAGGGGAAAGGTGTCTTCCAAATGTTTATGTGTTTGCTGTGTTTTCTTTCCAGTAGCCGGTGCAAAGACTGAAGTTGGTAGCTATAGGGAAAGAAAATCATCAGGTCGCATCGAGGTCCTTTTCAGTGGCAGCTGCTCTCCTTGGGCGAGTCCCCACATTATTTGAAACGGTGGCGCTAAGTCATCTAGGAAAACGTTTCTTGTTTGCTTCTAGGGAGTTTATGATTGGATATACATTTGTCAGTGAGCAGCTTAGCTAAGAGAGGGGGCTCGTTTCTCGGATGGTGAAGGCATCTGCTTTTCATCGTCACCTTTCTGAAATTAGATTCAGTTGCAGGGGGGAAGAAAGCGGCGGTCCTCTCCGTCTGCGTCTAACCCATCCGCAGCGTCCCCAGGGGCGATAAACCCAGGGGAGGGCAGGGCCCAGCGGGTAAGATTGTGGGCCCCTCGGACCTTTCCTCTGTGTTCCCAAGCGCCCTTCCTTGCCTTGCAGCTCCAGAAGCAGCTGTCAGAGCTGGACGAGGACGACCTGTGCTACGAGTTCCGGCGAGAGCGCTTCACCGTCCACCGCACGCACCTGTACTTCCTGCACTACGAGTACGAGCCTGCCGCAGACAGCACGGACGTCACCCTGGTCGCCCAGCTCTCCATGGACAGGTACCGCAGGCAGCCCCGCCCACCTGCAAGAAAGAGCTGGCCCACAGGCCCAGAGCATTCATCCCCTCCCCAGCACTGAAAACCGAGGGCTCTTGTCTTGCCGCTGTTGTTTGAGGATAGAGGGAAGGATTGATTCTTAGGAGGTAGAGCCCTATTCGGACTACCTCAAGGAAAAGGGGGAGTGTATAGACTGGAGCCACAATTGCTCCAGTTTATTGATGCAACGAGCATTCATCAAGCATTTCTGGGCAGTATTGACTGGAGTCCCACCCTGGTGTCCCTTACAGTCTAATGCACTACTTCCCAGCCTTGGCTAGGGACAGATTGAATCACCTGGAGAATTTTACAGCACATTCGTGTCCAGGCTCCATTGCAGACCAATTATCTAAGAATGTGGGCTGGAGCCCTTCACGTTGTTTTGTTTTTTTTTTTTTTTTTTTTTTACGTTGTTTTGTTTTAAGCTTGCAATGTGCAGCTGGGGCTGAGAACATGGGGCTAGTGGTATAAACAACAGTAAACAAATAAAATGATTATAATTGCAGTAAGTGCTTTGAAGGAACTGGGATAGATAATCCCAAAGACTACTTCCTTAGCTAATGTGGTCAGAGGAAGTGTCTCTGAAGAAGGGACATTTCTGTAGAGACCTAAAGGAATCAAGCATATGAGTTGCTGAGAGGAGAGTTTTCCAGATGGATAAAATAGCGAGTGCAAAGGCCCTGTGGTAGGAAAGGGGCCTTCACATTCAAAAGCTGGATGTAAGACCATTGTGGCTGAAGCATAACAGGGGATTGGGAGGAAAATGTCATGAGATAAGATTATAGAATGTTAATCATGTTTGTGCGTACCCTAAAGGTAGTAAGAAGTTATTGAAGAAATTTACATGGTTACATGATATAATTTATATTTTTAAAAACCTCTCTGACTGCCAGGAGGTTGCTCACCCAGGACTGTGCAGCTTTTCTGTACCTGGCCGTTCTAGGTGTCCCCTCCCACCTTGTCTGCAAAATAGCCACTTCAATTTACACACAGCCCATGGAGGCTGCCCCTGCCCCAGCTCCCTTCATGTCATCCCCCTCAGCTCCCACAATTAGGAAAGAAGTTTGATTGATTCATTCCATTTTTAGAGCCACTTCAGAAGTACTTATTTATCTATGGATGAGATTCCATGGGATTGGTCTAAGGATTAAATGAGCTAATGTCTGTGCAGTGCTGAGAACGGTACCTGGCACATAATAGGTGTTCAATAAATGGCAGTTGTTTCTAGTCATGAATGATTGAAGTATGAGCACATATGAAAGGACAGGCACCTGGACATGAAAGAGGCTCACATAAAGTTGTCCAGGAGTGCCCGGAAGTGACCGGAACCTGGTATCCACAGGCCATCTGGGTATGATTTGTGTTGAGCGGGGCTCATGGAAGTGGATTCCTTGCTCCGTGAGTCCTGCTGTGTGTTAGCAAATCACTGCACATGTGTTAAGTGGCCTCACTGGCCAGCGGTCTCTAGGGGGTTCACAGCCTCCAGAATACCTTGGGGGAAGAAGGCCTCTAGGACTTCCGTGCACAAACAGAGAACGTGCAGATCATAGCAGGTAACAGGTAAAGACACGGTGGGGCAGCAGGGAAGGGAAAGCATCGCGGCTGTAGCACCAGCTCCGTGCTCAGCCTGCTGCATGAGCTCCAGCAGGAGCTGCATGAGCTCCTGCATGAGCTCCAGCTCCCTTCTCGTGGCTGCAGTTTTGCAGTTTTCTCATCTCCAAATCCATGTGATCACTCAGCAGATACTGCTCAAGCCTCTTCACTTTTGCGTGCCAGGCTCTGATAGGGCTGGGAATCTATCTAAAAAGACCCTACCCCTATGTTCAAGGAGTGTGTGGTCTATTCACAGCTCAGACAGTGTATTCGTTTTCTATTGTCAGGTAATAAATGACCACACGTTTAGCAGCTTGACAAAGCACACCGTTGTGACCTTACGGTTTCTCTGGGGCAGCAGGCTGGGTGCAGGTCAGGGGGTCCTCGCTCAGGTCTCAGCACTGAAAGCAAGGTCTTGGCTGGGGCTGGAATGTCCTCCATGAGTCGGTATCTACCGCCCAGCTCATGCAGGTTTGAGCAGAACCCAGTTCTGGGACAGAGGTCCCCGTTGCCTTGCTGGTTGGGTCCTGCTCAGCTCCCGGAAGCCACTCTCAGTCCCTAGCTGTGCGGCCCCCTCACAGCACGGCAGCTCAGGGTCAGCGGTAGAATCGCTCCCTGGTGTGCTGTGACACAGCCTTCTGTAACGTAGCACCATCATGGCTGTGACAGCCAATCCTATTCCCAGGTCCTGCCACTCCCCAGGGGAGGGAATTACACAGGGTGCGTGCACCAAGGGGCAGCATCTTGGGGACCTTCTGAGAGTCCTGCCTGCCGCAGACAGGCAAGCAGGTCTTACAGCAGAGAGTGCTGAGTCTGGGCGCCATGCAGGAGATGCTCCCATGCCTTGAGAGCCCAGAGGAGGAGCCCCCCTCCCAGCCAGGAGTGGAGAAAGGAAGAGACAAGGAACATGTCCGAAGGAAGGTGTCACCTGGGTTAGGTTGGAGGCTGTGATGGCCATGAGTGGAGGCATAGAGGAGAGAAGGGGCTCCCCAAGGTGAGCATGCAGCATGTGCAGTAGACAGGCAGGACACCAGGCCCAGCGGGGGGCACACAGAATTGGATGTGGCTAGAGCCGAGGCTGCAGGAGGCAGGAAGAGGAAAGCACATGAACTTGGCCAGGGAGCAGGGGAGGTGGCCAGCCCTTCCGGCTCACATCTATCAGGTGTCCTGTGTGCCCCAACTCTGCCCCACCCTGCGGCCCCATCAGTAAGTCATCTGGCCACTCCAGCCCCTCCCGGCACACGTGTGTTTCCTTCTCCTCTGTGGCTTTTTAAATGGTGATAAAATCGAATTCTCCATGTTAATGCTAAATGATGGTCTAGGTGGGTCTTCAGTTCTGTAGGTAGCGTGAGTGCACGTCACCCTCTCCCATGAGGCACCTGAAGCTCAGGTGCTATAATCTGTGCAGGTGAGTGAGTTCGGCATCAACCCAGGTGCCCGTCTCCTACTGAACATCACTGGCTCTCCTCTGTCTCATTCACGCTTCCTAATAATGTGTTCAGGTCACCAGCAGAATACTCCAAATCAAGGTCAGTGGCCCGTAGCACCAGAGAAATCTGACATACTTTCTGATCAGAATAAAAAGCCGCTGAACAGTGAATGAGACGTGGCCCCTGGAGTTCTTTGTGGTCCTGCCACTTATTGAGTTTGACTTGGGAACAAGTCACTTAACCACTCCAAGCTTCAGTTTTCTCATCTCTAACCTGGGAATGATAATCCCATCATTATCACAATTATCCCTGAGGTTGTAAAGATCCAGTGAAAGAACTCAGCCCAGTACTTAGGTCCGACGCACAGTCAGGGGTGTCTAAGTGATGCCAGCTCTGTCGGCCAAATCTTCATGTGTGTGTCGTGCCAGGTAAAAATGCGCCGGACCTGAGGACAGAGAGCCTGGGCTCCGCTTCATCAATCCTCAGCCAGTGACCTTGGGCCCGTCACTCAGCACCCTTGGGTTTCTTGTCTCTCCTTCTGTGAAACAGGGTTAAAAAATACTTGCCTCACAGGGTCTGGTTAGGATCAAATAAGAGATTCTCTGTAACAGCCCTTGGCATGTATTTGGTGTCCTGTAAACATTGGCCAGATTTGACCATCCTTCCGAAGGCCTCTGCACGTGGTAGGTGTGTAGGAGAGGTGAGGCGATGCAGGAGAAAGAGAAAACGGGATCCCCGGGTTCCAAGTCCAGTGTGCCACGCCCCGGCTGCGTGAGTCCAAGCAGGTCACTTCGCCCGCGCGAGCCTTGCTCTGCCTACCCAGGAGGGGCAGTAGGGCTGTCTGTCCAGTTCGTAGGTTGTCATCTGGGTGCTGCATTAATAAAATAAGAAGCTGTCAAGTGCCCAGGAAGTCATAGGTGTGAACAAATACTAGTTTCCCTTTCCTTAATGTTTCCTACCTCTGTGCTGACTGTAGAATTTGCTTTCTGGAATTAACAACAAGCAGAGGAACATGGTTTTAGTTATTAACAACTCAACCCCGTCCTTCTGCACACACTTGTTAGCAACGAGAGCATCCAGGCAAACCCGAGCCCCTCTTTCTGCTGCCAGCGGGAAGTGTCCTCATGGCCTGGGCCCCAGATGGCCCAGCAGGACCCCCCCTCCCGGCCCCCTGAAAAGAGAGCCGGTCCTTACACCTGCCGTGAACACCAGGCATGGGGGCCTTCCCTCCAGAGCACGAGCACCCGGTTAATGCATTGTGACAAGTGTGGCCATCCCGACAATACCTCAGAGACCCCAAGGAGTCCCAAGCCCAGATGAGGGACGCTTAGCAGGGCACGGTCAGAAATTATAAAGCGGCCCCGCAGCTGATGAAGGCGGTAGAAATCCCTCCAGCCACTTCCGCTCCATCTACACATCCAATTATGATGCGGCACGCTGACTGGTGCCTGTTGGATTGATTTTTAATTTAAGAAACATTTCGGGTGTGTTTGTAAACCTTTCGAGTCAGAAGTAGTCCCTACGTGCACGCCACAACAAATCAGGGGAGCCGGCCTTCAGGCGTGCGCGCCCGGCTCCCTCTGGGATTGCGTTCAGGAGGAATGCGTGTCGCTGCTTGCAGCTGCGCTGGGGCATCGGCCTCCCTTCAGTTGGCCGGATCCTTCCCTCCTGTCCTGGCAACGGTGGAAGGGACAGAGGGAGCTGCCCGGGAGGGAGGGACACCTGGCACCACCCGTCTTCTGACACCTGGCCAGGGAGAGCCTGGCTCTGCAGCGCCCCTTGCATGAAGCTGTTGAAGTACTCACTACAGTTGTGGCGCCGTGTGGCTCACGCGCCTGCTCTCTGCCAGTGGAGGGGAGAACAGAGTGGGCTACCAGGGCCCCGCTCGCTAGAGCAGCGATGCAACACGCCTGCTCCCAGGACCGGCCTACGGCATCACCT